TATCATTGTTAAACCTTTACTTATTTGTGTGTGTACTCCTACTCTTCCTTCCACACTTGGATAGCCTGTGCATCTCTCCATGTATCTACCCACAGATCACTATTATTGCAGGATTGTGCATATGACACTATATACCTCTGTTGCCGTTAAGGAGCTCTGGTAGCGTAGTGGTTACGAATCGGGCTGCTAACCCCAGGGACAGCAGTTCGAAACTACCAGGTGTTCCATGGAGAAAGATGAGGCTTTCTGCTTTCGTAAAGATTTACAGTCTCGGAAACCCTATACAGGGTCACTATGAGTTGGAACCAACTCCACGGCACATAACCACCACCTCTGTTGCCTTTAACTCTTCTGCTCCTCCCTATCTTCTCCTGCCTTCATTATTCTTCTGCCAACTTAATTCTATTTTTCCACAAAAATTTTGAAACCCTCTTAAATACAAAAACAAAGAAAATGGAGGTGGTGTTTGAAAGGGTAGCACATGTACTGTTTTAAGGTTCTTACACTACCTGTAAAGTGGTGAAATAATGCTTGAAGGTGGATTGTGATATGTTAAAGAGGTCATTGTAAACTGCTACTAAAAAAAGAAAATAGAGAGGTACAGCTTGTAAGGCAACAGTAGAGGTAAAATTGTGCCTTGGTGGCATAGTGGTTAAGAGTTTGGCTTCTTGGCAGTTCAAACCCACCCGTTTCTCTATAGGATAAAGATTTGGCAATCTGCTCCCATAAAGATTTACAGCCTTGTCAGGGGATGAGTTACTATGTCTGGAGGCTCAGGACCAGTCTCAGGGGACTCTACGATTAATTGGCATCACATAATGCACTGGACCAAAAGGTCAGTTTAAGCTGCAAGGTTGGTGGTGCAAACCCACCAGCAGTTCCTCAGAAACCCTATTCAGGGCCGCTATGGGTTGGAACCAACTTGATAGCACTTCACAATGACCACAGTCCACAAGGACAATGTTCAGCATCCTACATTGGTTAGGTGGTGACCAGGTCTTTAGAGATTGTGAGCAGCCATCTAAGATGCAACTCTTGGTCTCTCCCCATCCAGAACAAAGAAAAGAGGAAACCAAAGACGTAAGTAAACAATGAATCCAAAGGATTAATGGACCACAGAAACCACAGTCTCCACTAGCCTGAGACTAGTAGAACTAGATGGCACCCAGCTACCACAACACAACTGACCACTCTGATTAAGATCACTATAGAAGGTCCTGGACAGAGTAAAAGAAAAATATAGAACAAAAATCAGAATTACACACACACAAAAGACCAGACTTCCTGGTCTGATAGACTGATTTTGAGGATGGCATGGGACTGGGCAGTGTTTTGTTATGTTGTACATAGGGTCACTAGGAGTCAGAACCAACTTGATGGGTGTGCCGTGAGATGCATAACTTCTCGTAACTCCCACCAAAATATTGGGCGAGACTATGCAAATCCGGTGCTTGTGGCCCACCAAAAGGGTTATGTCTTATTTACTAATAATACAAATAAGGTTCATGGTCCCTTGTGTGAATGGGACCATACAAACAAGGTATATAGAAGTATAGCAAAGGGGTTGGTCACTTTTGCCATCCCACTAGGCTTAAAATGAGCCATCCCAGAGACAGAAAGACCAACCAGAAAGACCTGGGAGTGTATGCTCATCTTTCAGGGAGCTGGGGTCTTTGCATTGGAAACTTCCTAGACCCAGGAGTCTGAACTCTGTAACAGAGGAGACAGTGAACAGCGACAGAAAGATGCAACATACCAGGAGAGCGGCAGGAGACGGCGCAGTGTGCTTCCCAACCCCACAGTGTGAGAAAGCCGAGAGCCTTTGGGCAGGCTTGCAGGTAGAGTGGGGTGCTTCTGGCCATGTATTGGTGGAGCTAAAGAGCTTTGTAACACTTGCCTGAGCAGGGCAGAGGCTGGTCAGCCCGAGAGGCCCTCAGTGTCTAGATCAGAGAGAGGCCTGCCTACAGGCACAGCTAAGAGAGATTGTCTATTTGTATCCTGAGTCATTTCTTTGTGTGTGTATGATTTATTAATAGACAAGGCCTATATAATTTCATTTCTTCTTGGATATGCCAAAGTTATAGCCACAGCAACCAGTGGTCTTGAACAGGAAAGCCCGGAAGTGACATGGTCTTCTGAGGGCTGGAATCTTCTTCAGGTCTTCACAGAGCTGGTTGTCCATACCATTGGCTAGACCCTGACTGTATCTGCCAGCCTTCACGTTTTTCTGTCTGTTCAGGAACCAGTCTGGAGCCTTGTATAGGACTGGCTTCTGTATAACGGTGATGACACACATCACCTGATGACTCAGGGAGCACTCCTGCTCTCTTGGTGAGGTCAGCGTCTGCTTTCCCCAACACCCCAGGAGCAGATCTTCATCCCACACCCTTAAAGACAGTGATGGCAAAGGCAATGTCTGCGGCCCATCAATTTGTGTCAAGTACTCGCAAAATGGGCTGGAACTCCTCGGGGATCCTTAGAGACGTGGTAGCAACAGCAATGGCAGCGTGTAGGCCTCCGGTGGAAGAACTCCTGAGTCATTCCTAAAGCTGAATTGTGACCTTTGAATTCCCCAATTAACCTCTGAGCCTGAGTACTGCACACAGAATTACTGAGCCTAGCAGGAGTAGAGAATACTGTGGGAGAGACGGCCAATGTCAGGATTGGTAAAGTTTGGAGAGAAGAGGTATGTCTGACCTCTGCTTCACCTGGTGATACTCTCTCCCCCTGTGAAGACAGGAAGTCAGTCGCCTTTCTCCATGCCATTTTACAGGTGCAAAGAGGTAGTCCGTTGTGGTGTGGATTTGCATCTTCCTCAGGGATAATGATGTTTAGCTCTTTGTGTGCTTATTGGCCGCTTGTATTTTCTCCTTTGGAGAAACACCTGTTCAGATCCTTTATCCAAATTGGACTGAGTTGCCTTTTTTCTAATTCTTATATATTCTAGATACAACTCCTTTACCAGATATGGTGGTGGTGGTGGTTGTGTGCTGTGGTGTTGGTTCCAACTCATAGCGACCCTGTATAGGGTTTCCGAGGCTGTAGGTCTTTATGGGAGCAGAAAGCCTCTTTATCAGATATAGGATCTGTAAATATTTTCTCCCATTCGGTGTGTTGTTTTTTCACTTTCTTGATGGTGCTTTATGAACTTCCGAATTTTTGATATCTTTTGTTGTTGTTGTTGTTGCTTGTGCTTTTGGTGTTACAGCTAAGAAAACACTGCCTAATCCAACATCATCCTGGTGTGGCACTGCAGGATAAGCACTTGGACTAGTGGCCACGAGATTGGTGGTTCAAACCCAATAGCCTCTCCTTGGGAATCCTATACAGGGTTGCTGTGAGTCGGAACTGACTCAACAGCACTTAACAGCAACAATCCAACATCATAAGGATTTACTTCTCTATTTCCTAAGAGTATTATAATTTTAGCTTAAATTTCAGTCTTTGATCCATTTTGAGTTGATTTGTGTGTGTGGTGTGAGGAAGGGATTCACCATCTTTCTTCTGTGTGTAAATACTCATGTTATCCCAGCACCGTTTGGTTAACAGCTTGTCCTTTCTCCCACTGAACTGTCTTGGCACTCTTCTCCAAAATCAAGTGGCAGGAAATCTAAGGGTTTCTTTTGGAACTCTCAATTCCATTCCCGATTTATTCATACATCAGTACTATGTTGTTTTGATTCCTACAGCTTTTGAATCAGGAAATGTGAGTCGTCTAACCTCCTTCTTTTTCAAGACTATTTGGCTGGTTTGGATTCCTTGAATTTCTATAGGAATTTCAGAAGCAGCTTGTCAATTTCTAACTAAAACAAAAACCAAGCTGGGATTCTAATAGAGCAATTGTGCTGAATCTATAGATGAACTCGAGGGACTGCGATTGTTTGAAGTGACTCAATTTCAGGGTGGTTTATGGTGATTTAATAAGTGATAGGCCACCCCTCTTAGAGAGGCATGTTTTGGTTAAGGATGAAAACATAGGAGGGTGATCTATGAAGAATAAAATATTGTCTGTAGGTTATCTGCTCCTACATACTAAATGGGACTTTTCTTCAAACAAAGGGTCTTTTGCATTTGTGCTCTTGTCTGGATCTTCAGGTAGGCCCTTTGGATCACTTTGACACTAGAGACCACCCAAGGACTGGCTGCTGTCTGCCCCACCCCTCACTCAGGGCCTGACTTCGCTACACTGGGAAGGGTCAATCAGAACCATTTATTTTCTTTTTCAGCTTTGGGTGTGCCCCAGGCTTAATGTAGGGGTTTATTGAGGGAAACAAGAACTTGGCTGCCCTTGTCCCATCCTCTTTCCCAACAGAAGACACACACCAAGTCTGAAAGTCTTATGAATGGTAAAAAGACAGGAGGTTTTACCTAAGAGTGAAACCGCTGCTGGAGTTGACAGTGAGTTGAAGAGCTAAAGATACTCCACAGGCTCCAGGTAAGGTTTGACTCGTCCCCTTGGTGAGACCTCTAATTTATGCCCAGACTGTGTTATTTCTAAGTATTTAGTGAGGGCATTTCTGCATGAGGAAAATCTACATCAGGGTGCACGGACCTCTGCTTTTTCCAATCTTCCTTAGAAGCGGGAGAGCCACCTCAGTCCTCACTGCGGTAAGGCCAGGCTGGATTCGAGACAGGAACTGAGGAAGGAGACCCTTATGAGGCCGTGTGTCCCTGAAACCGTCCCACTACCTCTACCCTTTGGAGACTCCCACTCAGTTCTGCCCCTTTCTCAGAGACAGTCTGAAGCAGCAGAGACACGTTCCTGAGGTTCACTCCAGGCTTGGGCTACAGCCTGGCCAAGTGCCTGTTTTATTCAGAAAGAAGCCTGAGGAGAGCTCAGTGACAGAGAAAACAGAAATCTAGAAAAATAGTATATGGTTCGACACAATTAGGAAAAACTATGCCAAGCTGGCTTAAGGCAAAGATTGGCCTTAAGTGAGGGAAGGAAGCGGTGACAGAAGAAAAAGAAGTCTTTTGCCAGCTTGAGCCATTTTGGTGGCCTAGCGGAAGTAGTTGGGACATTCATGGGCAACCAAATGCCAGGCTTGGTTAAAGGTGTCCACGACAGCAGGCTCCAAGGGCCCTTCCTCAGATGCTGCCAAGTTCTGCTGCAACTGCTCCATGCTGGACATGCCAAGGATGATGGCATCACCATGGGCACTCTGCAAGGGGACACAGCCAGGAGTCAACACACTGCTGCTGCACACAGACCTCGGTCACACACCCCTGCTCCAAGTCCCATCCTGCCAAGAGTCAGGATCTGGTGTTTGTTTATACCCTATTTAGTTCCAGAAGGAATTTAAGGTGCCTTCAACAGTGGTCACTAGGTGGTTCTAAACCTGGTATCATTTCTCACTGCTGTCACAGTGCCTCATCCTCAGACATATCTGGGCTCAGAGCCAAGATCTTCTGTCCGCAACTGTGTAAACTTGGAACAATGTCTTAACCTCTCTGAGACTGGTGATGGGAATAAAAAGTTAGGTAAAGCACTGTAATGAAACCCACTGCCATCGATTCAATTCCGACTCACAGCAATCCTACAGAACAGATGTAAAGCACTACCTCCCATTTACTGAGCACCTACTATCTGCAAGACACTACGCAACTGTGCAAGGCTGAAGATGGAGAAGACCTGAGACACCTGGAACTCCCAATGGGTTTTGGAATGAAGTCTGTGCTATGTGTTCCACCCATTTAATAGTCCTAGTGTGGCGCTGTGGGTTAATGCGCTGGACTGCAAGATCGATTTAAACTGCAAGGTTGGTGGTTCAAGCTGACCGGCTGTTCCCTGGAAACCCTATATATATGATCTCTATGTGTTGGAACTGACTGGACAGCACTTAACAATTACAACAGCCATGTGGACTGTTTCCTCACTTGCAAAAGTAGGCTAACCAGACTTCCTGAGGCCTCAGTAACAATCAAGAGAAGCTCGTGAAGTCTCTGTCACAAGGCAAGGGCCTTATGTGACTGTTAAGAGCAATGAATGGGAGGACTGACCATGTTTGCAACAGGAACATTTCAGAAGATAAAAGTACTTAGAAATCTCCCCATCAAGGTGTTTCTGGCTTCCCTAGTAGGGCAGAAGGTAAGCATCCAGGGATGGCTGGCTTACCTGGAGCTGGGAGTGGTGGTACATCCACCGCAGGGCAGCCGAGGTCATGCTGGGGGCACTGGAGCCGTAAGCTGTCTGCAGGGCCTTCTCCACCAGGGCAATGGCTTTGAAGTGGTGCTCCTTCCAGAAGCTGCCCAGGTGGGAGGGGAGTACAGAGGTCACTACCCTGGGGGTCACCATGGGGACCAGACCCAAAGAGCCAACAGGGCAGCTGCCCCTGTGTCCTCTAGCAAGGGTTCTCAGAAGCTCCAAGGATGCTCAACTCTGCACCACAGACACTGCTGGAAATCTACAGCGCTAACCTAAAGCTGCCCTTATTTGACCCAACGAAACAAAGAGTCCCGGAGGCAGGCCGAGGGCCGGGCTCAATCCAGGGTTCTTCCTTTCCTTCTTGGCACTTCTCAGGGTAGATCTATGACTTGGCACACTTGACAAAGGTTTAGGGATCTGCCCCAAAAGGGAAAGAAACACTATCGGAGGCTTAGTAATTCCCTCAAGAGTAAAGAAACACTTTATGTAGGCCTGGGCCCCAGGAAAACAGCCCAGAGTGTCTCCGTTTTAGAAAAAGGGGCCCCCTACCCACCCTGATGCAGATTTCTCAGCTCACCGATTCCTGTAGGTCTCAGACCAGCTATTCCCAAAGAAGCGGCCCACAGGCTGTTTCCCATCCTTGTCCTCATACTTGTACTTGCCGGTCAGCAGGCCCCCTGAAGGAAGGCTGCAATCAGTCACTTGGCCAGGCTAGTCCCAGAGAGGCTGCAGACACCTGGTGACTCTGGGATGGAGGACAGAAGGGGACCAGGAGGGAGGGAGGACATGGCCCAGCTTCCTGTCAAATCCCTCCCTGCCTCCCAGGCCCTCATAGCTCGGTCCCCACTGGGTCAGGAACAGTCAAGAGATGGGGCAGGAAAGCCCTCTCACCCCAGGATGTGACCCTATCCCCACCCACAGGGGCCCATACCAGCCAAAGGGTTGTAGGCGTAGAACCTGAGTCCAAAGTGGCGGAGGCAGGGGAAGAGCTCTGTTTCCACCTGCCGTGTGGTGGCGTTGTACATGCCCTGCAGATAGAGAGGCCAGTTGGAGGGGACAGATGGGTCCAGAGAGGGACCCCATATTTACCTTTATAGAACCTACAATCAAAATTGGCCAAGGACTTCAATTATCTTTAATATTACTAGTGGTATGGTTGTATAATTTGAGGTATGTTGTGGCTTTATAGGATAAGCACTGGACTGCTAACTGATAAAATAACTGAATTCAAACCTACCAGTTGTTCCTTGGAAATTCCATACAAGGTCACTATGGGTCAGAACTGACTCAACAATACACAACAATGACAACCACTGCAATTAAATTGTACATGTAGATATTGTTGAATTACAGGCATTTGCTTCATATTTGTTCACCAAAAAAAGAAAAATTTTTAAAAATTTACTAATGGTGGTAGGGATTGAGGAGAGAGTGCTGGGCCCAAGGGGGAGAAACCAGACTGGACTGATCCCCACTCTCTGTGGGTGCCATCTATGGATTGAGCAATGGGCCTAAACCACAAGCAAGTCTAACAAGGAGTCTCCACTAAGAGATGTTATGTTGTGGTTGTGTGTGGTTGAGTTGGTTCCGACTCACAGCAACCCTGTGTAGGGTTTCTGATGTGTTTGAATTACCAACCTTGTGGTTAGCAGTCCAGTGCTTATCCTACAGTGCCACACCAGGACCCCCAGAGATGTTATATTGTTGTTGTTAAGTGCTGTAGAGTCAGTTCTGACTCATAGTGACCCTGTATAGGGTTTCTAAGGAGCAGCTGGTGAGTTTGAACCACTGACCTTATGGTTCTAACTGACCCTGAGGTTGAATGGATATCCTACAATGCTACACCAGGAATCCACAGAGATGTTACAGTCAAGTTAACCCCCACCCCCCTCCCCGAATTGGGAAGCTCTGTGCTCGTACAATAGTTGTTCAGAAGAAAAACTCACTAATTGTATGAAGATGTGGTATTGGAGACTGGAGTCTGTACCAGACTGAAGTGCACTGTAAGGCAGGAAGCAAGGGACCCAGATGTGCACTGAGGCAGGACAGGGAGGCGGGCCTGGAGCCTGCAGGGACCTGTCTGCCAGGCTAAGGAGTTTGGACTTCATCCTGAGGGCCACAGGAGCCTCAACAGACTTAAGCAGGGGAGTGGCTGCTATGCGGAGGGCACTGGGGCAGTCAGAGAACCCCTGGAGACAAGGCCTCTAGGCCCCCCGGCCTCACCTGGTACACTGTCGGCTGGATCCAGCCATGGTTCTTGCAGAGAGTACAGATCTCGGCCACCTCCCAAGCAGCATAGTTGGAGAGGCCAAGCTCCACAAACTTGCCCTGCAGGGGACAGGTCTCGGTCAGAGCCCAGCTCCATCTAGGATTGCCCTAGTGCCTCCATTTTTCTGGGTGGTAAGAGGCCGAGGGGAGGAGCAGCAGACAGCTCCCAGAGCTCAGGTGGCAGCCCTCACCTCCAGGTGCAGCTGGTGGCAGGCGTGCAGTGTCTCTTCCACGGGGGTGCTGTGGTCAGGTGCGTGTAGATAGAAGAGGTCCACCTGGGCACACTGCAATCGTTTGAGCGACGTCTCCAGCTGGGACCGGACACTGTCAGCCTTCAGGGACTTCCCATCCCAAGGGTTGGCCTTGGTGGCAATTTTCACTTGGAGGAAGAATATGAGGGTTAAGAGATTTTGAAGAGAGAAATTTATTAAAATCACTTTCTAGCCCTCAATTCCCTAGTCGGGGACATAGATAATAATAACAGGACTGTCCATACCGGGCGACCCAGAGGGTTAAGAAATGTCTTCTATATCAGTGCTCCTTGTTCCCTATTAGTATAATCACCAAGCTGCCGGCAGCTCAGGCTGTGCTTAGGGGCTGAGTCCACAGAATGAACGAGCACACAGGATGCCAGCCTCCAGAGCTCACCCTCATAGTCTGTAAAGAACTAGTCAAGATATGTACAAGGTGCTAATGAAGCCCCTTCTGAGAGGCATGAGGTCTGCTTGGAAATTCCAGGGAGGGCCTCCTATGGGATGACCATCCAGCTGACTTCAAAAATGAGTCAGAACCAAAACGCAAAGGTGGGACGTACATTCCAATGTGTGGGAACAGGGGCAAAACCACAGAAACAAAAACAACACAGCACACAAGAGCCCACAGCAGCAATTCTGTGATACACACGCATAAACTCCAGGGCAGAAAGTGGTGGGACATAAGAGAAAAGTAAGGGGGCATAGACTTGATCCTGAATCTCAATCAGATACCACCCCCAGTGAATCTGGACTTGATCATTAAAGCCACAAAAGCCACTTAAAAGTTTTAAGGTCAGCTATGTACTGCAATATTTTTGTAAGGTGGAGGGTCAGAGAAAAAGAGGAAGACTCCAGCGAGATGGATTGGCAAAGTGGCAGCATCAATGGACTCAAGTGTGGCAACAATTGTGAGGCTGGCTCAGGATTGGGTAGTGTTTCATTCTGTTGTACTAGGGTCACTATGAGCCAGTACTGACTCGATGGCACCTAACAACATGTACTGCAATGTTGGCAGTTCAAGCTCACCTGCTGTTCCTCGGAAACCCTATACAGGGTTGCTATGGGTCACAATCCACTCTACAGCACATAACGAGGTAGATACCGTTACTCTGGCTGCAGTGCAGACAATGGACTGAAGGGGGCAGGCTTGTAAGCAAGGTGACCAATAAGAGGCTGTTGTAGGATTCAGGACACTGTATAGATCTGCACTTGATCAAGAATCACTAGCAGAAATGATTTGACAGACATAAGGCAGAGTAATTCCAGACACACATGCCCCTCTGAGAACAAGGAGCTTGGCTGTGAGTAAATTCAGCACTTTTCCTTCCCCTACAGAGAATCCCAGCAGTTTGAATCGATGTGTGAGAGGAGGTGCTTTGTGTACTTTTCATGAGTGACAAAGTTTACTCAGAAGCTCAGACAGATTTTCTTCGTTTCTCTACATCTCCCATCCTTTCTTGGTGTGAACTTTGCCTCTGATCTGATCTGAGGACTTTAGACTCAAAGAAGGAAGTGGAAACGCACTGGAGAAAAAAAAAAAAACAATTTGGAAATAAAATGGTCCTTATCTCTTTACAAGAGGCAGTCAGATGACTCAGAGTGTGGGCCTGAGGTACAGATTCCCATTCTCATCTTCCTCCAAGCAATGAATAAGGAGGACACAGAGTGGGCCTCCCCAACAGGGATGAGTTGTCGTTAAATGCCACTGAGTTGGTTCTGACCCTTAAGTGACTCTGTATAGGGTTACCGGTCCAAATCGGCTTTGTAGTTCAGCGCATTAACCCACATAGCTACACAGGGATGAGAGGAAGACAGACAAGAGGCAAGGCACAGTGATGACAGCTGACAGCTGATGTTTACTAGCCCCTCACTATGTGCCAGGCACCTTCTGCTGAGGACAATGTCCATCCCACCTCTACCCCACCTTCCATTTTAGACCCAGCCATTTTCTGGCCCTTCTTATTCCACACACCAGGCACTTTACATTCTTTTTTTCACTTTACATTCTTAAGTCAAGTCTTTGCACAGCTGTGCCCTCAATTTCTAACGTCTTTTCCTTCTCCACCCAGCAAACTGTCATTGATTTTTTAAGTTTCAGCACTAGTGGTCCCTTCTCTAAGAAGCTTCCCACCCCCACCCCCGTGCCTCTCTCTGTCTCCTTACCCTAGACTCTCAGCTCCCTGGGGGTGGGTGAGGGATACATTCCCTCTTACAACCAGGTGCTACTGAATCGACTTCAACTCATGGCAACCTCATGTATGTCCACGTAGAACTGTGCTCTTTAGAGTTTTCAATGGCTGACTTTTTATTACCAGGCTTTTCTTCTAAGACACTTCTGTTTCAAACCTTTCTGTTAGCAATCATGTGTGTCACACCACCCAGGGACTTCCCTTATGTTGTTAAGTGAGTCGGTAACCAAAGAGAGGCTAGTGGGTTTGAACAGCCAACCTTGCGGTTCAAACAGACCTTGCGATGCAGCGCATTAGCCTGCAGTGCCACACCAGGACAAAGTCTAACATGGTTACCACTAGTTATCCCCCATCTCCCACAGTTGGATAGGGGTCCCTACCCATCTCCCTTAGAGAGCTAGAGATACTGCCAACTGAGCAGGGCAACGTCTGGCGAAAGGCAGGTTTGGTTAGAGAGACGGGGGGATCTTCAATCCACTGTAAAAACCTGACTGGGCTGGGTGCCCAGGGAGCACACAGGGCACTGCGGGCAAATGGGGCTGGGAGCGCCTGGGGTCAGTTACCGAACCCTGACAACTCGATGTGAGGAGCTGCAGCAAGAAAGTAAGGGGGTAGGAAGCGAAAAGCAAGACCAAGCTCCAGGGTGGGGCAGGGGGCTCCCCAGAGGGAGGAAGGAGAAAGGGAAGGTGGTTAGCGCAAAGCACCGTCCAGTTGGTCGGTGCTGGAAGTGCACGGGGCCTGAGAAGCTTGGGCTCACAAAGCTGCGGGGTTGTTCCGAAGCGGCGCCCTAGGACAACGGTGACCTGATGGCCGCCGCGTCCGAGGGGGAGGAGAGAAGTGCACGGCCGGCAAGGGGTCAGCGTTCGGCTGGCCGAGGTCAAGGGCCCGGGACGGGGCTCCAGGCGTTACCTCTGCAGTCGCCGCTGCCCAGCCGGAGCCCCAGGCTGCCCAGGATGCTCTCCGACTGGCCGTCGCAATACATGAAGGCCGTGTCCAGTTCCGTGTGGCCGCGCTCCAGGAAGGCGCTCACGGCCGCGGCGCTGTCGGACGCGTCCATGCGGCGCCCCATCTCCATGGTGCCCAGCACTGTGGCGGGCTGAGCCAGGGTGCCCGAGGCAACCTGCGGCTGCGTCCCGGCCATGGTGACTGTTCTGACCGCGAGTCGCTGGGAGCAACGCGCGCAGCGGGCAGTGGCACGAGCCACAGCTCGAGACGCAGCACTCAGCATGAGGATGGCGCCTGCGCGCTGAGGAGCTTCAGGCACCGCCCACCAGCGTCCGGAGCGCAGCGGCCGACGGAAGTAAGGGAACAGGAACGAGGACGGCGGCTCACCCCCAAGCATACACACGCACTGCGCGCGCGCGCCACGCCTCCAGGGACCGTCTGCCAACTGCGCGGCGTGAGAGGCTGAGCCGCGGGAGGCGGCTCCCAGGGCGGAGCGACGGCGACTGATCGGGTCAGCTGACTCGCGAATGAGCAAAGAACCCAGAAGGTGGGCCTGGGCAGTTGATCTGCACCTGGTGAGTTGGACTGGGCGCCGGAGGCAAATCCGAAGTCTGGGAGGTGGGCACTTCTGGGGCTTTCCTACCACATCTTTCCAACACACACTTGGCCTCTCCTCCGCTGAGTCCTCTCGCGCATCTTGTTTGCTCCTTGCGCGAGATCTTGGGACGTGGCTGGGGGTGTCCCTGCCGCCCACCACCCCGGGGACGACCAGTGCGTCTTGTCGGACCGCCCTGGCCAGGGTCTAGGGTCCCCTTTTCACTTCCTGGTTTGGGCCTACGAACCCCTTCTCTTCTGATAGCTTTGTTTCCTCCGGGGAGGTCCTCCAAGCGACCGAGCCGCTGGCCCCAGCGACTGCCCTGTCATTATCCTCGCTAAAATAGGCGACCCGCGCTGGGCTGAGTCACGAGGGGGGAATTGTCGCGGAGGACATGGAGGCATGATCTTCCCTCCAGGTACTCCCCAGGTCTACTGGGTGTCGCTGCTTCTCCTCCCCAATGTGTAGGGCAGGTTTCCAACTGTGTATCTGGGGAGTCTGGGGTGACTTGGGTTTGGAAGTATGAGGACTGGCTGAGGTTAGCAAGTCTTGTCCATTCAATACATTACTTACCGAAGGTTACTTGCTGTGTGGGATACAATGAGAACCGACCAAGAGCCACCCCTGGCTATTACCCCTGAGCATTTACCCCTTGCCAGGTGCCATTCTACGCAGATAGTTGTCTCGTTTAACTTTGTAATCCGCCCAGGAGGTGGGTAGACTGTATCTGTATGAAGGTGCTTCCAAAAGTTTGTGGAAAAATGGAATAGAAAGATAATAGAAATTTTCCACCATCTTTTTGAAGGCCCCCTTACTCCCCATTTTACAGAATCGCTTGCCTAAGGCATCAAGCAGGTGAAGTTCCAGGATGTGTTCACTTTAACCCTAGGCTATTACAACTCAAAACTAGATAAATCTCTCTTTCTCTGATTTCTTTATTTTTCTTTCTTTCTCAACCTTTCCCGGAGAGCTCGGGTTGGAGGCCCTGAGACTGGCATGGTAAAGGGGGAGAACTAATGGTTGCTGAGGACCGTGATAAGCATTCTTTAGGTGATGGGAAAGCCAGAGGTGGCAGGTATGAAAGGCTCTTTTAGGATTAATTTAGAACTGGGTGCCGGCAGTGTCTGTTCTCCTGGTCCTTGAGGAAGAGAAGCATCTTCCTGCAGGGCTGAAAATGCCCATCTGAGCACATAAAGGACAAGAGGCAGGAAAATAGATTAGGAGGGAACTTCTTTTTTTTTTATGTTTTCTTACAATACTGCATATTTTATTGTCTTCATTTTGTGCCATGAGACCTGTTAAAGTACAGAATACTTGCATTTTTCCTTTTTTAAAATGTTTTATTGTGAATTATGTGATACTTTACATGGGAGAACATTAGCTTTACATTCATCCTATCATATATCATTTCATTGCCATGGTTACAATCCCCTCCGTACATCATCAACCAACTAAAGGGTACACCCTGCAAGTCTGTCTCCCGGTCGTCAGCACACAGCCCAGGAGGGGAATTCTTGAAGTACTGTGAGACCGTTTCCCAGGGACTCTGTAGTAATTATGAAGGGGAGACATGGAAGCCTGGTACGATAGAGACCTGTTCAGCTTCAGTGGGTAATAGTCTCCCTGGCTCAGCTTGGAATCTTGGAGAGAAGCTCAGGTTTGTTACCTCCAACCCAAAATGTGGCCAGAATCAGAATCAGCTGAAGGACTTCTACTCAAGATCCTTGAACCCCAGCCCAGACATAGCCATCATGAGTTTTACTAGTAAACCCTCCCTGTGATGCTGAGGCTGTGGTCTTTGTCATCCCAAGGATGAGGTCAAACTTTGATGTAACCGTGGACATTTAGTCACTCAGTGCTGTTAGACAAGGAGGTGGACCACTCCCAGAAGCTAGTCTTTAGATTTAGGCTCCCCACTTGGGCCAGTCTCTGCAGCTGCTCCCAGAAGTCCTCTCCACTCAGGCACAGGTGTGTCTCAAGTGCCCTGAACCTGCAGCTGCAGTTGGAGCCTGTCCCAGGGCAAGAGACTGTCTACTCAGGGCCCTGGGTCTGTAAGCCAAGGTGCCTCTCCTCAAGATCCCTCCCTTCAAACTGGGCATGTGTCGATCTCACTTCTCTGTAACCTGGTCAAAAGAACAGGTGAGACAGGCCTCAGGGTGGTTGAGATACTGAAAACCAGTCACCAGCATTTCTTACAAAGTCAGCGCTTTATGTGTCTTTAATCTGCACAGCAGCTCCAAGGAGTTAGTGTCATTATCCCCATTTTATAGATAGCTCAGACAGGTTAATTTGCTTGCCCACAGTCACTCAGAGAGCCTGATTCAGTCACAAACCTGGAACCATCCCTCTAGACTAACTGGGAGTGGCAGACAGGAAAACAGAAGAATTTGCAAATGACTTTTTTTTAGAACAACTGTATCCAGCACAAAATGTAGAGAACAGCCATCCATTCTCCGTGAGCTGACATTAGATTTGGTTTCAGATAGAGTCCGAGCCTGAGCTCTGTATCTGTTAACTGGGGACAGTATTCCCACCTTGCAGAAAAACATGAGGATGACAGTGTGCTGCTAACTCGCAGTGTTATCTTCAGAATCTGCAAGAGGAGCGGGGAGGAGGGAGTCTGGTTGTTGCTTGGCTGGGGAATAAAAGGATTGATGAAATGACCTGGGTGCTGTCAAGGTACTCTTCTTATTGGGATTGCATGGTAGCATGGGTGGTTTTGTAGACGCTGGTGTCAGGCACGCTGTCCCCACATCCACTGCACTGATGGTCATTGTAGTGGGGCACCAAGATTTGAGAAGAGCCCTTTGTCCATCTGATGCTGGGCCCTGGAATAAACACTTCATGGAGCCAGGCAAATAGGGATCAGGCCGTGTCCCCGGCTCCGAGGCCTCTTTGTGCCCTGGGTGTCTGTCATATTGGACTGAGAGTCCAGAGCTTCATGGGAGAATCAGCTGACTCACTTCCTCTGCCTTCCTAAACGCTCCCTGGTCACTTCAACTTCAGCATTCTGCAAGTGCAGCCAGGCCATTAGTTTCTGGGGGATCAGGCTGCCAGACACTGAAACAAGAACTGAAGGTAGCTGGAGAGAGTCCCTGCAAGGGAGGAAACACCCTGTGAGCACAGAGAAGAAGGGGGAAGCCCATGTCTGACTCCAGAGAACTCTAGACAAGCCTAGGAAACTAGACCGCAGGAGGGTTCCACCATGCCCAGGGACCTAGAGGTGAAGGCAGAGGGCAGGATGGCTCCGAGCAGGGGCTCAAGTCAGGGTCCTGGGTTTGACTCCTGGTTCTGCCTCCTGGCTGAGTGATCTAGACAAGAAGAATGTATCAGTAGCCCTAAGTTTTAGAGGCGATGTGGGCAAGGTACTTAGCCCCGAGCTGAGGTGGTGATTTTTATTCACCTGTTAGAGATGGTGCCAGCCTGGTCCTGGTTTATTCCCCTTTTCTAGAGTCTTCACTCAGGCAGCCCCCTGCTCCAGTCACTGTCCTGGGTCCAAGACAAGATCAGGGGCTTCCCTGACTGCCCCTGTGATCAGTCATAGTCTGACTTGTCAGGAGTGAGAATAGGGAGGTGACACTGGGCTCCCTGTTGGAAGGGATCCTGCACACCACACGAGCTATAGCTTGGGAGGAAAAGGCAGGCTGGAGCAGCCAGCTGTCCCCAAGCTTAAATCCCAGGCATCTGTGCCAGCCTGGGGACTTACCTAGTCCCGACTCTCCACTAATCTCAGTTGGCCAATGGGGACAACTCTACATTGTTGTTGTTAGGTGCCATCGAGTCGGTACCAACTCATAGCAACCCTATCCACAACAGAATGAAATACTGCCCAGTCCTGGGCCAGCCTCACAATTTTTGCCACGCTTGAGTCCATCGATGCTGCCACTTGGCCAATCTATCTCACTGGGGGGGGTCTTCCTCTTT